AAAAACAGACAGACAACTCCAGGAAGCTCAGAGAGTTCCCAAAGAGATGAACACCCACACCAAGACACATTATCATTAAAATGCCAAAGTTTAAATACAAAGAGAGAATCTTAAAAGCAGCACAAGAAAAGCAGTTAGTTACCTACAAGGGAGCACCCATACGACTGGCAGCTGATTTCTCAAAAGAAACTTTGCAAGACAGAAGGGCTTGGCAAAAATATTCAATGTGATGAAAACCCAGGATCTACAACCAGGAATACTTTATCCAGCAAAGCTATCATTAGAGTCAAAGGACAGATAAAGAGCTTCCCAGACAAAAATAAGCTAAAGCAATTTATCAACACCAAGCCAGTATTACAGGAAATGTTGGAGGGACTTCTTTAAGAAGAAAAAACATATATCAAAAACAGGAATAAAGAATGGTAATAACTATATTCCTATCAACAAGTACCTGAAATGGAAAAGAATTAAGTGCTCCAACCAAAAGATAGAGTGGCTGAATGCATAAGAAAACAATACCCTTACATATGACGCCTACAAGAGACTCACTTCAAATTAAAGACATATACAGACTAAAAGGAATGGGGTGGAAAAAGATACTGATTTGATGGACCTAGAGGGTATTGTGCTGAATGAAATGGGCTGCAGAGAGAAAGACAATATCGCATGTTTTCACGTAAATGTGGAATCTAAAGAACAAACCAACAATAACAAAAGCAGTAATAAACTCATAGATACAGAAACTATTTTGAGGGCTACTAGATGGGAGGGGATTTGGGGGGATGGGAAAAAAAGCAAAGGGATTAAGAGGTACAAATGGATAGTTGCGGAATAGACATGGAGATATAGAGTGTAGCATTGGGAAGATGGTTAATAATGTAATAAATATGTAAGCGGGAAGAGGGGTACTAGATTTAGTGGGGTGATCGCTTTGTGAGTATGTGGATCTCTGATCACTCAGCTGTTCAACTGAAACTGGTATAATTATATGCCAACTATATTGGGAAAAAAACGAACTGTACAGTGTAAATACGAGCATAATTATCTATTATATTTCAATAAAGATGGAAAAAATTTTGAGACAACTGATATAACAATTTCAGGTATACAACATAATTATTCATTATTTGTATATACTGTGAAATGATAGTTGCAAAATTTTTTTATTGTGGTGAGAATTTTAAGGTCTATGCTCTTAGTAAGTTTTAAATAACTGTATTCACTATGCTGTTCATTACATGCCATGACTTATTTGTAACTGAAAGCTCTGTACCTTTTAACCCCCTTCACCCATTCTGCATGAATAACTTTTTTAAAAATTGTATGCAACCACAAAAGACCCCAAATTGCCAAAGCTGGAGGTATCACACTCCCTGACTTCAAACTATACTACAAAACCATAGTAATCAAAACAGTATGTATTGGCAGAAAAACAGACACACAGACCAATGGAACAGAACTGAGAGCCCAGAAATAAACCTACTTACATACTGGCAATTAATTTTTGACAGTGGAGCCAGAACTATGCAATGGAAAAAGGAAAGTTTCTTCAATAAATGGTGTTGGAGAAATTGGACAGCCATATGTAAAAGAATAAAACTAGACTGCTATCTTACTCCAAACACAAAAATTAATTCAAAATGGAATAAAAACTTGACTGCAAGACGTGAAATAATAAAATACATAGAAGAAAACATAGGCACTAAGCTTACAGACCTCAGTCTCAGGCATGTTTTTGTGAACTTGACCCCAAAGGCAAAGGAAATAAAAGCAAAAATAAATGAGTAGGACTACATCAAACTGCTTCTGCAAGTCAAAAGAAACTATCAACAAAACAAAAACGTAACCAACCTAAAGGGTGAAGATATTTGCAAACGACACTCCTAATAAGGGGATAATATGAAAAAAAAAAAAAACCCACTCAACAGCAACAACAACAACAAAAACAGTCCAATTAAAGAATGAACAGAGGACCTGAATAGACTTTTTTCCAAGGAAGACATACAAATTGCCAACAGACATATGAAAAAATGTTCAACATCACTAGTTATTAGGGAAATACAAATCAAAACCACGCTGAGGTATCACCTTGTACTTGTCAGAATAGCTATTATCAAAAGGACAAGAAACAGTAAGTGTTAGAGAGGATGTGGGAAAAAAGGAAACTCTCATACACTATTGGTGGGAATGTAAATCCATGCAGCTACTAGAGAAAACAAAAATTCCTCAAAATATTAAGAGCAGAACTACCATATGACTCAGCAATTCTTCTTCTGGGTATTTACCCAAAAATTATAAAAACACTTGTAAAAATACATGTACCCCCATTTTTGTTGCAGCATTATTTACAATAACCAAGACATGGAAACAACTTAAACATCCACCGATGGATGATTAGGTAAAGATGATGTGGTGTATATGTAAAATGGAATACTACTCAGCCAAAAAAAGGATGAAACATTGCCATTTGTGACAACATGGATGGATCTTGAGAGTATTATACTAAGTGAAATAAGTCAGATGGTCATAGATACAGACAACAGAATGGTGGCTACCAAAGGCAAAATGGGGTAGGGGAGGGGAAAGTATGTAGAGGGGGTCAAATAGATGGTAATAGAAGGAAACTAGACTTTGAGTAAGGAGTATTCAACAGAGTACACAAGTGTTGAATGCTGTAACCTGAAAGGTATAATGTTATTAACCAATGTTATACCTCCAAAATTTAACTTTTTAAATTAAAGATGAAATCAAGTTAAAATTAACATCAAAGCCTAAAAGTAGAAAAGAGAGCTTTCAGGTTGTAGAGATAAGGCATGATCAGTCCCTCTGGGTGAATAAAAACACTGCCCACTTTGATTTTCCTGCTATACAGAAAGACTCTTGTTATAAATATGAATACTGCTTAAATATGAATACTGCTTAAGGGAAAGGGAGAAATAATACCAACTGGTGTTATAGGCAGACACTGCTCAGCACTTTCTCTGAAAGGTAACAATTAACTTTTTCATTCAAAACAAGCAATTAAAAGACAGACATTTATCATCAATCCTTAGGGGGTCATCTGATCTTTGCTAGCCAATAGACTTAATGATCAAATTAATTTACTAGAACAATAATTTTCCAAGTCATTTTTTCTTGTATTTTTCTTTATGAAGTTGCCAAAACCATTAACAGAGAATTGAAAAACAAAGAGAGTGATGTTCAGTTGTGGCTGCTTTACCTAAATGAGCAGTGTAAAGCCAAGTGCAAGCAGCCAAACTGTAGGGACTAAGATGGTTGTGCTTTAAGGACATCCGTGCTTGCATTCTTCATATGTAATTATATTGCCAGAGACAAACTATTTCACCACCTCTCAATACCCAGGAACCTGCTCCAACAATTCTCCTCTCCCTTCTGGAAGAAATGTACAAACATGCTTTATAATTAGCCATCAGCGGCTCCTGACATAGTTCCCCACTCCTTCCACCTGAAATACTCTCCTTGCTTGCTTCCAAGATCTCACCATCAGGTTTTCCTTTCACCTCACTGGGCCAGTAGGTCTTCACTCTGTCTGACACTTGATGCCCTAGAGCACCATCGCAGAGCCTCTTTCTATCTACACTCACTCCATCACTTAGGTCAGGGGTCCCCAACCCCCAGGCGTGGACCAGTAACTATCCATGTCCTGTTAGGAACAGAGCCTCACAGCAGGAGGTGAGAGGCGGGCCAGTGAGCGAAGCTTCATCTGTATTTGCAGTTGCTCCCCAGTGCTAGCATCCTGTCCACCTCAGCTCCACCTCAGCTCATCAGGCATTAGATTCTCACAGGAGCACCAGTCCCTGGTGCCAAAAAGGTTGGGGACCACTGACTTAGGTCATCTAGTTTCTTGGTTTTAATACCAACTACATAGTGTTGACCTCAAAATTTCTATCTTTAGCCCAAACCTAAACTTGAGATTCCCATGCCCAGATGCCCACCTGACTTCTCCACCTGGGTATCTCAGTGCACTTGGCAGAGAATCCCAAGTCCTATGCTAGCATCTCCAAGATCTAGCCCTTTGACTCTGACCTCATCCTCTCACAACCACAGTCACTCTGCACCATCCACACTGGCCTATCCTCCTGTCTGAGAGGTATCTGTGCACTTACTATTCCCTCTGCCTGGAAGTTCCTAACCCCAATATCCACATGACTCATCTCCTCACCTCCCCTAGGTATTTCTTCAGTGACATCTTCCCTAAACACTCTACCTAGAGCTGAATCCTCACTCACTTCCTATTTCCCTTCCCTGTTCTCATCTGTCCTTTGTACTGAACACTAAGTTCTACATGTATTTTATTTTGCCTTTCCCTCTAAAATGTAAATTCCATAAAGATAATTTTTTTTCTGTTCACTGCTGTGTTCCAACACTGCTACATAAACAAGCACACAAATAACTTTCCAAGAATAAAATATTTGTTAATTTTAATGCTTCTACATCAATGGCTTCTTTCAATTCCTGCTACAACATCCTAATACCATGATTCCCAGAGTTCTCTAATGAAAAGCCCTAATTAAAGTGAGAAATAGAAGAAAATGAGGAGGAAGAGGAGTTTCTCTACTGGCATACTCTGAAGAGGCCTTAGCTGGATGATTCTTTGAAATCTAACGTTCTATTGTAAATGCTCATGCTTACTTTCCTTCTGCTCTATTCATTTTCACATAAAACAGTGCTGTCCCTTCCCAGATTTTCAGTTAAAAGTGATTCTCCAAGGGGCATAGCATTTTCCTACTGCTGAAACTTCAAGGCACACTGTTGCCTCCTAGGCCTACACTTTCAAAACCCAAGCCTTCGTCAAGTCGTCATCTCTGGGGTATTGCCAAGACTTCTTAAATGGCTTACCTGCCTGGTACACCTTTTCTAATTACCTCTCATGCCACATAGCTCTGTGTTGGAGAGCTCAAGCTCCAGAGCAGTGGTTCTCAAACAGCCGGAATTTGCATTTTCAAAATGTTCCTCAGTGGTCAGGAACCACTCTAAGAACCACTGCTCTCCTGCCAATCTCCTTGTTTGACCCACTCCCACTGCAAAGCTCTAACACCTGGGGCAAGTCATTTGAGCTCTCAGTACCTTAGTTTACTCATACATAAAATGGGGATAATGAGAGTACCCACCTCACAGAATTGTGAGGACTAAACGGGTTATTACAGTGCCAGTGCTGGGCACAGCAAGAGCTCAATACAAATTGCCTTAGTTATGCTGCTTCAACTGGGAGGCGCACAAAAGAAAATTCTTCTCACAGGATCGAGTCTAAACCTCTCAATAATGGAGCAAAGTCCTCACTTTATTCTCTCTGGCTACTCAGTTACAGAAACCCACTACTATAGTCACACTCATCTCCCAGTTATCTAGCTATACCTCAAGCTTTCACCTTAACATCCATTTCCTTCTTCAAAACTTCCTTATCACTATCAACAATTCAAGGCTCATCCGGTCTTGGAGATGTTTCCAGCCGTCTAATCTCAAGTTTTTTACATCTTCCAGACACTTGGATCTGAACCACTTGGTCCTGTTTTCACATATTGCCCCTTTGTCTTTAAAAGTCCATGTGGGATTGGCGGGTGGGTGGATGGATGGAAGAATGTGGGATCGGTAGAAAGACGAACAGATCGACAGATATGTGATGGAACCAATAGACAGATGTGTGATAAAGCTAATGTAGCAAATGTTAACTGTAGAATCCAGTTGATGTGTCTATATAAGTGTTCACGGTAAAATTCTGTCAACTTTTTAAATATTCAGATATTTTCATAACTTTTTTTTAAGGAAAAAATGGTACCTACAAGTCACAGGTCCTGACTTAATTCGGATTTAAAGACAGTGCAACCTTTACCAGCATGTGGCCCCTGCCCTGACTCCGCACAGCAGAAAAAAAGATGTCCAGGTTGGAGCGCAGCTCCAGCAAAGAGAGGTGCAAAAGTAAACCCGCCTGAGAGAGGAACTTCAGCGGGGAGTGCCATGATCACAATGTTATCTCACTGAGATACAAGTTAACCCTTACCACCAGGTACGCTGCACAACGTACATATTCTCTCAAACACTTAGCTATTAGCTACTGATCTCGCAACGACCTCTGCGGATGTCCACCGCACGGAAGAGAAAGCCGAGTCACTGGCCCGAAGGCAGCAGAGGCTGGCGCCGGGCTGTGGGCGCGGGCCGGTCCCCCACCTCCTAAAAACCCCGCACTTCCTGACAACCACCGAGGAAGGCGGCCTGCGCTGATGAGCACGCAGGGTTGCGGGGTGAAGTTTGAGAGTCTCGGCCAAGGTCAGCGCACGGAAGACTGTGCTTCCGCCCCGGGCACCGGCTTCGGACCCTGCGGCCCGCAGGGAGGCTCCAGTGGCGGCTAGGCGGGGCTGGCTCCCCAGACCCCCAGGGTGAGGGGGCGTTGTCCAAGTGTTCGCCCAGGGCGCACTTCACTCACATATTATTGAAGCGGAACAGGTCATCGCATGTGAAGGCCCGGAGCGTGGTCATTACGCCGCCGCCACCCAAGCCCTCTCCACTGAAACTCTCTCGCCACAACCTCCCGCCCGCTCCGCCGGAAGTCCGCCAACGAGCGGCCACAGATGTGGGGCGGAGAACTGCTTCCGGGCCACCAGTCTCTAACAACCACGCAGAGACGCAGCTCCCTCTGGCGGCCGGAGTCAGAAATTGCCAGGTCACGGGCTCTTAGCCCTCAGAACCTCCAAACCCGTCTATGGGAGCGACAGAAAGTGGGCATTGTGATCTAGCAAAGAGACAAAGCTGCCGGGTTTAGGAAGCCAAAGCAGAAAAGCGAGATTCAGGACCACTTGGGTGTCCCTTAGTAAATGAGGAAGGAAGTGATAAGAAATGGAAGGATTCATGGTCCAGAGCGGCCTGTCCCATTATGAGAACTCTGTATGGGATCTCAAATTTCCTAATATCACGTTTAAAAACAAAATAAGAAAGGTGAAATTTATTTTAATAATGTATTTTATTTTACCCAGTATATTTTAAATTGTTATGGAAAAATGCCCAAAACTCCAAAAATCAGACCAGCGAAAAGCCAAGAAGTAACCAAGAGAGAAAGAGAACTCGGTTTTATTACGCCGGCGGTCCCAGAAGAGCTAGTGCTCTGAAAATCTGGGCCCGGAGCTAAGGGGCAATTTCACTTTTATACCTGCGTAGTTACAGTTGGCATGGGCTGATTAATAGACCCCTGAAATGGGCTGATTAACAGACTCCTGAAATTACTATGGGCTACGGGCAGTTACAGAGCATGGATTTTCTAACAAGCACTAAAGCAATATATCTTTTCTAACTAGCACCAAATCAATACATCTTAAAGAGAGGGGATACATCTGTCTAAACACTAAAAGCAATATATCTTAAGGGGAGGATGAGTTCTCAGTTGACCCGGAGATCTTTGTTCTATGTAGCAAGTATGTTTACAGAAGCAGAAAAAAAGGAACTGATTAGAAATGCTGGCCAATTAAGTGGGAAATTCCTCTTCAAAACGTTATCACTTCACATATAATCAATAGAAAATAATATCAATGGAAAGTTTTACTTTTTTTTTTTTTTTTTGGTAAAGTCCTTTATATCGCGTATATTTTATATTTGCCACATATTTATCTCCAAGAACTAAATTGTCATGAGAAATACTTGTTCTGTATTTAAATTTCATAAAATGTATACGTAAAGTATATGGTTAAAAAGTAGATTCACACAACCAAAAAGTTCCAATCATGCTGTTTTCAAATGACTGAATGGAACATCAGTTTTCAAATTTAAATTTAAATGAAAGTTAAATAAAGTTGAAAATTTCATTTGTCAGTGGCACTAGCCACATTTTTTTGTACTCGATAGCCCCATGGGTGGTGGCTGCCACCACTTATAAAACAGTCCAGGTGTAGTCTGAGAAATGAGCATGTCCTACCTGCTCTTAGAGATTCTTTCTCCCCCTACCTTCCCAAGCTACTACTGAGGTGGTTTGGAGGAGGGAGTAGGTAGGCCCATGAGAAGGCTCTTCCAAGATCCAAAATCAGATCCAAACATCGTTTCCAGATCTTCAACAATATAGGCATGTGAGTGTAAACACACATGTAAGAGTCCCTGGGACTTGCAAACTCATGCCCACAGGTACAAATGCACCAGCAGGGCAGAAATGTGACATCATGAACTCAGCTTCTGCCTGCTAGGTGTTTAAACAGGGAGAAATTTTAGGGGCAATTTTCGAACAGCAAAGCCTAATGTGCCACATTAAATGAAGTTAAACAAGGATAATTTTTAGAAAAGGTAAAATTACTATTTTCATGCAAATAAAAAAATGAACATTTGTCAAAGATTTTAACTCTTTAATTTAACCAATGAAAGGACCAGTAAGATGTTACAGCCTGTTCAAAGGAGAATTTAAAATGCACAAGGCAATCAGGATTTTGCTGATATGTATTTAGAAATATGTATAAAACTTGTCAATATCCACAGAGTGGTAATCTACTGCATCTCCTAGACATACCTGATGCATTTATATTTCTATAGACAAGAATCATTTTCATTACTAGCTTACAGATTTGTAAAATAGGTCAAAAACAATAAAAGGCAGAGTTAACCTGGAAAGATGTAATTGACCAGACAGACACCCAGTCATCTTTTATAAGTCATTGTCAAATGTCTCATAACTTTTTCTGATGAACGAATTTTGATTTGAATTTTGTTGGTTGTGAAGTTTTTATAGTGTTTATCATTATTTTTTTATGACTACTTTATGTTTGTACTTATTTAAGTAACAGTATAATAAAAGCAATCTTGATTTTTAAAAACCACTGTGGATTTAACACAAAGACAACACTCAATCCCTGCAGGCACTGGTTCCTGTGGGCTACCAGTTTGCAAACACTGCTAGAAGTTATGATTCAGAATCATCATTTCCAGTCACAGATCAAAACTCTTGTTGTAGCTACATGGCAATGCAATGTGTGCCAGGTCACGGGGATGTGGAGGAAATTACAGAGAACATCCTGGAAACATAAGCTAGATCTCCTTTCTCTCTGTCTACTTGTTTTTAAACTGTTATCAGTTTCCAATGAATTAACATCTCGCAGGATGCCTGGCAGGTGCTCAGTAAATAAAGGAGACATATGGGTTGTACAGAAAATCATGCCATCCTTAGTAGTTTACAAATAGATATTATGTTATCAACTGAGTTATTTCACTGTGCCTCAGTTTCTGTAAAAGGTATGTAATAATAGTATTTACCTCATTGTGTTATGAAGTATAAATAGCTAATATTTGTAAAGCACCTGAAATAAGGCTTGCCATTTGAATGTGTGTTAAAGAAAGTAAATAAAGTATTTTGCATTTTGAAGATTCAAAACTTTGAAATGTAGAGTGTGGGAGAGGCAAAAACCGTTAGCACAGTCGGTGTGCGTGGCACATTGTTCACATCCCAGATGAGCAGCTTGTTTCAGAGAGTCAGGTCCTTTGAAGCCACCTCCCTTTCTCTTATTATCTTACTCCACCCAGAAAAGCCTACATGTCAGCACTTGTTTTATTTTGTTTTTTAAAATACCCCTTAGGACTCTTCACTTAAAAAAAAAAAAGTCTGTGTTGTTTAATAAAAGGGATTTATGCCCATTATTTAGCAAATGGAAGACTTGTAGAGATATACAAAGAAGAAAGCAACAAATCACTCAAGATTCCATCCAGGAATAAATCATGTTAATCCCTGAAGAACTTCAGACATCTTTTTATGTAGTTTATTTAAAGGGAGTGAGAAAAAGACTTTCACTAAAAAGAGGCTCGGATTAGACATGTTAATATTAAATTAAAAGTTATTACTTTAATTTTTTTTAATTTAGCAGAAGAGAACTGAATTAAAACTAAAGAGGTTGCTGAGCATCACAAGGGTACCTAAAAGTTTCCTTTAAGGCTTAAATATGTATTTTATTATATCATATATATTAAATATGATTTCAACTGTTACCAGAGAGTGGAGTCTTCTCCTGGCGCATTGTCCAGGTTCTTGATGTCTCGAACAAAGAATTAAGAAAGACACTGAAATACAGTAGAAAAGAAAAGTTTTATTAGAAAGGAAAGTACACTTCCAGACGTGGAAGCAAGCCTGAGCAAGAGAATTGTGGCTCAAAAGGCCTGGTAACGAAGATTTCAGGGTTTTTATCCCTTTTTTTTTAGCTATGAGTGGTTACTTTTCTTAGAGGAGTGGGCTTCCTTGATTGACAAGTAAGATTGACAGGACTCAGTGATTCGTCATTTTGCTTTCTGCGCATGTTCGTTCCCAGAATTCAGTCTGTTATAATGATATTAATGAACTTCTGGGCATATGTATCATATTATAATGATAGTAAATGAGGCTTAGGTATATTGAAGATGATTGGGGTTTTGTTGCACAGATGTGAGTGACTGGCTGAAACCCAATTTCCTGCTCACTTGTTTCTTTCTTGGTTAACTTTTGCCCCCCAA